GACATTTTTTTCCGCTAGATTAAGCGGGGAAATTTTTTCCGCTAGATTAAGCGGGGAAATTTTTTCCGCTAGATTAAGCGGGGAAATTTTTTCCGCTAGATTTAGCGGGGAAAATTACCCATAATGCACCGCGCGGTTACGCCGACGGCGACGCCGCTCAAGCCGGAAACGGGCGCCTAAGAGCTGCGCTCTAAAACAATTCTAAGGGCACCTAAGCACTTCTTATGAGTTGTGAATGCGAAAGCATGCATGTCTTTCTTCCGGTCCCTCAGGGCCCTTGAGGCCCCTACGCACGGTTGTTTTGGAGCGTTTGACTGCGTTGCGTCGAGAAAAACGAAAGGGAGTCCCCGACACGTCTGTGTTTCGTGTGAAGTGTAGAATCCAATTCAATAAAGAGCTTGGCACGCGATTTAAGAAGCAAGGACGTCCTGGTTTCTCGCAGCCGCAACGCAGTCGAAAGCTCTCAAACGCAACTGTGCGTATGGACCTTTTAGTTCGTCTGCCGTGTATTGGCGTGGGCGGCCACCTTTCGCTACTGCCGAGGTTGCTGCCGCCGGCGATATAGATGCCTCAGGCACCGCCATATTCCTCGGCGCCAAGAAAACCAAAAACGGCCGCAGCCCCCCCCCCCCCCCCTCCCTTTCCTGCAACGCCTGACACGAGAGCGGCGGCCGAGCGCGCGCTCTCGTGAAGCGGCCGCCAATGGCTATCTAGGAGCCATTGGCTCCTAGGCATTGGCTTCCTGGATAGCCAATGGCTATCCAGGAAGTTGGGTTTCATTAAAAGAAAGTTGAACGACGCTCCGATTCAGGTTAAGCTACATGCGTATTATTCATTAGTCAGATCCAAGTTGGAGTATGCAAATATCGTTTGGGATCCATTCACGCAGAAAGATATCCGGAAGTTGGAGATGGTGCAACGTCGAGCGGTTCGGTTTATTTACGGAAAGTATAGAAGGCTGGATTCACCGTCTCAACTTATGCAGGCTAACGGAATACAGACTCTTCAGGCTAGAAGGAAACTAGCGCGGTTGAAATTCTTGTTTCATCTTCAGCAAGGACAGACTCGCATAGACCCATTGCAATATATTTCCCCTTTAGCGTCAAGAGCTACGCGGCACAGACATCAGTTTTCACTAACACCCATTTTTGCGCGTACTAATATGTTTAAGTTTAGCTTTTTTCCTCGCACTATTAGCGACTGGAACGGTTTACCTCTCGAACTATTTATCGACACCAACTTTGTAGAAGGTCTCGAGCGTCTTGATAACTAGCATGTTTTGCTTTGTAGGTTGCTGCACCTTCATCTTTTTCGCATGGACATTGGGATTGTATAAACCTTCATACTACATCTGGATAGGTCATTTTGTATTAGTGCATGATGGAATGACATACTGCTTGATGCTTGCTTCCCCCCCCCCTCTCCCCTTTTTTTAAATAATATATCCTGTATATTTGCTGGTTAGTTGTAAACCTTTTAATGTCGTGTTATTTGCTTTCGTTGTATGTGTGAATGTATATGTTGTATCCCACACCTACTTGGGCCTTCAATGGCTTGTAGTATCCTCTAAATAAAAAAAAATAAATGCACTTTGGTACGACCAATGTGAGAGCACCATCGTACGCGGAAGAAACACGTCTCAGACCGTCTGCAGTCTGTCGTTTGTATGACGTTTGTGTGACCGTAACTTTCGGCTCTTCTGCATTAAAAAAAACTATTTCGCTTTTTTAATAAAGTATAGAGAAACAGTAAACCTGTCAAATCTTTATCCTCATAAAATAGTTATATACGTATATAAAAATATTTTTCAATTGTTCAGTGTCCTCAGCACACCATGAAGATTTTTCGAATACAGCTAGCACATAGTCACTAGCCGTTTAAGGAACGGAGGGCTTATTTATATGTTCGAGCTTCTCGATTTGGGATTTGTTCTTTGGCATTCTCGTCGGTTAATTCCGTAATCGGTGCGGTGCTTCGTTTTCAAGCTTTTGTCCGAAGTCGAAAGATCCGGTCTTTTGTCCTCCAAATGTTGAAACCGTCTTCGGCAGAGTGAAACGATATCGCCTTATAACCTTCTCACACCGCACCCAAAAGTTCAGGAAGCCGCATTTCCGAATCGTAACCAAAATGGCGGCGCCTGAAAGAAAATCGACAAGGTATCGGAGTGCTGGTACTCTAAGCGTAAAAATTGTACGGCTGCTCTCTGCTTTTTTTTTTTTTTTCTTTTTGCTTGCGCTAGTGTCGATCGTAATGTTTACGCAGGGCCGTACACTCGTCGTTCCGAAAGGAAACACTATCGGGTCACGCGAAGCTGCTTCAAAACATCGTTCCCCCGTTTCGTCCACCGTACTCGGACCGTGTTTGTGACCGGTCTTCCAGAAATGCATTCGGCAGTAAACGGGAAAAATATCCGCGCCGTATACTTTACCGCGATTTTTTTACACGATGGCAGTTTGTCTTCGACCGATAATTCCCCGAGTTGGTGCCGGCGCCACCAGAGGGTCAACGAGACCGTCGACGAAATTGACAAAGAGGTCATGTGACATCAAAAACAGCCATCGTAGCGCAATTGCGAAATGGTGAACTGTTTATGTCTATACCAATTTGCTTTGTTTATACGAATTCGCTTTAAAATGGAACCATTGAACCTGCCGGACGTTTAATCACATAAAAGTATTAAAGGTTTCGCAGTCGTTGAACCTAAACACGAGGCAAAGTTTTTAAATAAAGCTAATTAAGTCATGTCTCTGGTAACTAAATTAATGCAGCGAGTGGAGTTTATCATGTTTAAACTTATTTAAAAATTGCGTTAGATCCAAATAAAAATTTGCGTCTGTATGCGATGGACGTTCATTGAATCCCACAATTGGAAGAGTACTCAAAAACGCTACTTTCTACAGACTCACTCCAGCAGTTTCGAAGATCTCGAATCAGACGACGTAATGCCGATATCTGTTTCTATTAATATTCGCATCGTTTCCTGTGTCTATAACGTGTTTGCTAATACGTTTTCGTACTTTTTATTTAGTTAAGAAAAAAATCGCATTTCAGAAAGAATGGAAGAAAAGAAAAATAACGCAAGCTCAATTATGCTGGCGAAAACCGGTGAGAACAAAATGTGATCGGCGCAAACTAGTACCACCTCGCACAAATTGAAGTCACGTGACTTGGGTGTATTCACGTCAATTTTCCCGCTACATTTAGCGGGAAAATTGACGTCAGGTCTCGCAACGTCATGGGACTTGGTCGCGTGACAATACTTCCTACTCCATTAACCGGGGAAATTGACGTGACAATTCATCGTATTGGATTTTCGCGACGGTCTTCTCTCACATTTCGGCCGATAAAGCACATAATGTGTGAAACACGAACGCACACTCACGCATCCAGATGCACACAGGTACCCATAAAGGCTGTTACGCATCGACCTCCGGAAAACGTCTCCCCGAAAAAGGTTCTTGCACAAGGAACACCGTTCTCCCGCAAGAAGGGTTTTCTTGCTCCGAATGAACCCGATATCCTGATAGCGCACCTATCTTCTCGGACCTCCCGAGGCGCCCACACGCTGTAATAAAACCGCATCTTTTCCGCTTCTCTTCCCCGTTACAAAACCCAGGAGGTCTTTATGGCGTCCTCGACTTGCGTAAAGAACAGTCCGGCCAGCACGAGACGTCTCCCATTGCACCCGATCGCTGTTCTTAAACAGGCTCTCCTTTCTCTGTTGTCCGTTCTATTTATTCGCTCGTTTAGGGCAGCTTCTGTGGAGTGAAAGATAGGTTCTCATATTCTGGGACCGGCTACATGATAATAAGGATAATAATGTTTTTTTTGTTTGTTTTTTTGCTGAGTTCTTAATGTTTTGTAAGGGGCGAGTCAAAGCCGAAGTTGGGCTATGTGACCGAAACACAGCCGCCAGCAAAAACTGGAAAATCAACGCAGCATAATCTAAGCAGAGTACTAATATAAACTGCACAAATCTACAAGTGTAATCAATCAATCAATCAGTGTTTTTATTCGTGCCCAGGAACAACCTTGCGGTCTTATTACAGGTGCACTGTGTTAACATGTGAGGTATAACAGGGCATAAAGCAATAGTACAGACAACACACACAACGGACAAGCCCTAAAAAAAATACACTTAAAAATTATAAAAAAACAATATAATAATAGAAATATGCGAAGTCTTCTGATGTGAACAGAATGTCCGATATATGAACATCGAGTGTGAGATTTCCGACCGTGGAGAGTGCATCGAGCTATCCGCGTACTCCCGGAAACCATAAGAACTTCCAGAACGCGAGATTGCGCAACAAGGCATATATAGAACAAATTACATTACTGTAACGTAGTGCAAGATACTATCCCAACTCTAAATGCTTGAAGATATAGAACGCTTAATTTTCTCGATTATATTCTCGGCAGAGGCGGTTTATGTCTTGTTGTGCGTTTGGCCGCGAAACGCGCCGGAAGATGACGTCACGAGGGGTGGGAAGGAGCGAGAGGGAAAGGGTGGAAGGAGTAACGGGAGAAGAGGGAGGAGTGGTAGACGGCCAGGCATTATTGTTTTACGAGCGTTCCAATAAAATGACGTCCCGGTGATAAATGAGCTCGCCTCTTCGTCGACCTCGGCTTCCGTGCGTAGCTTCTTTTGGTCGCGCCGCTCTTCGTGGCTTCTTTTTTTTTTTCCTTCTTCTTTTTGCCATATAATATTTTTGCGTCGCGAGTTATATGCGGGAAAAATCCTTGTATAGCAAACATGCGTCTGCTGCGAGAATTCGTCTGACCGCTTGCGTCGAAGGCTGGTGGTTTTTGTACGCGATTTCGGTGTTTCATTTATGAGTCCAAGTACACTGTTATGAACGCCGGGCAAATGCTCATTGGATAACTGAAAGATAGGGTCACAGGGAATCCCAATTTTCCACGGATTCGTAGTTTGGTATCCACTATCCGAGGTTACTGGTCAGTGCGGATGGCTGTATTTGTCAGATACAAAGGTAGCCTTAGGTAAATATACAAAGGTAACTACAAAGGTAGCCAAAGAGGTAGCCCATGACATAGCCAGAGAGGTAGCCCATGACATAGCCAGAGAGGTAGCCCATGACATAGCCAGAGAGGTAGCCCATGACATAGCCAGAGAGGTAGCCCATGACATAGCCAGAGAGGTAGCCCATGACATAGCCAGAGAGGTAGCCCATGACATAGCCAGAGAGGTAGCCCATGACATAGCCAGAGAGGTAGCCCATGACATAGCCAGAGAGGTAGCCCATGACATAGCCAGAGAGGTAGCCCATGACATAGCCAGAGAGGTAGCCCATGACATAGCCAGAGAGGTAGCCCATGACATAGCCAGAGAGGTAGCCCATGACATAGCCAGAGAGGTAGCCCATGACATAGCCACATGGGTAACCGAAGGGGTAGACAACAAATAACTCGCCTCGGTGGCTCCGAGGCAAGTTGCCGGCCCACGGTTCTCCAGGTGGCGGGTTCGAATCTCAGCCCTGGTGCCCGCATTCTAACGAAGTCTTATTTCAGAGAAGCGCCGTTTAACTGAGGTTTAGATTTGACGTCCAAAGGTCCCCAGGTGGTCGAAATTAATCCCCGGTCTCCGCTGGGGCATGCCAGATGCCTGTCGTTGGTTCGACGCGTAAAAAAGAAAAGAAAACAAGAATAGTGTGTAATTTCAGAGGTGCAGAAAGGGGTAAACACATAGGTAGCCACAAGGGTAACCACATAGATGGCCCCAGGGGTAACCTCAGTAATAGTCACGAATGGTATCTTAGATATTCATGTGTAAGGGTAGTCGGAAGTTGTCGATGATATACTGTTACCCTCGCAATAAACTTCACACGGAGATCTTTCCTTGTAGAAGCCGTATCCAGAGCCCACCAGGCGATGCGGTCGAACTGACGTTTATCCTTCTCTTCGCAAAGATAACGCAGATTCGAAACTACTGAACGGACACCGGGGCACGCAAAACCCATCCACATAGCTATCTATGACCATACATCACCAATTTGTTATAATAAGGTGGGTGACACGCAATCAGTTACAATAAATAAAACAAAACAGCAAAAAAAAAAAGCAATGTTTGTAGGTGAACGTCCTTTTCCGGTCGTCGTGAGGCCGGAAGTGCAGGACGTATAGAGGTACTGCGTCTTCTTAGATCGCGGCCGCCATTCAGCAGTGAACAGCCGCCGCAGCGCGATAATATCCGGCGGTACTTTACGCGGAGGCCACTGAATTTCGGCTGTCGACGGTCATTTCTGTCTCTCTCGCGTTTTTGGCGACGTTCCCAAACTTGCGCGAGTCCGTCCGTTTTCTTGCCCCGTCGTCGAGACGCCCGCCTTGTTTCGGTGTTTCTTTGCAGGTTTAGAGAGCCTAGGGATTTGAGAGAGGAAGCAACTCGAACCACGTGGAGCGTTTAATGGTGGACGCCTCCTGCCAACGTTACTAAAACCACTTAGTTGGGAAACTGCCATAGAGCCTGCTCTGAAAAAGTAGCACCTATCCGTACTCGGGAAGCGAACTAAAGGCGATCGGAACGCCGCTATTTCTCCCGCAGCAGCCACACGAGGAACCGCAGGCCTGTACCGGTTAGGTTAGCGTCTCGTGTCTGCTATGTCGGTTCTATTTTGGGTCTTAATCGGCCATTTTGGCGCCGACATATGCTGGAAAGGGATGCTAATCCTCGTCTCCCCAGCGGACGCGCCGCGAATTCCTACCGAATTTAGGACGCCCCAGCTCGGGACACGGTACCTGAAATCGCCGGTGAGACATGGTTGTATGAATACAATATTAATTGTACCGCAAAACATTGTAAACTAAAGATTTCAGAAAACATCACGCGCCCGTTACTTTGTACTAATCTCCAATAAAATTTTCTACAAAAATAATCTTTTCCCGTTTGTTTTAACGCAAAAATATCCTTTCTAAAAGCTCAAATGACCACAATAAATAAAAAAAAAAAAAGTTGCCATGGGGGCACTTTGAGCTTGGGAGTTTCGGTACTCTGGGAACATTCAGTGACTCTAGCAGTAGCCGTATAAGGCAACTTTCATGTTTCAACTCGTCGCTAAAGGGTGGCGCTATTGTCTTATTTAGCTCGCTCTCGGTGGACGCCAGCGTCCCAGGTTTCAACGGCGAGTTTCCCAACTGAGTGTTCTCGTAACGTTGCCTCCTGCGCAGACTGGTCTCGAATGCGCATACGGTGAGTTGTCGCGGGGCGAGGAGGAGAGCGGCGGTTGGAGACCCTCGCAAACGATCGGCGCTTCGGTCACCACCTCGCCGCTCGTTCTGCAAACGCGGCCCGTAAACCACGTGACTCCGATCGCGCTGTTGGAAACACTCCCTAAATCTAGGCACATCATTGCGGGGACGACCCCGTTCGTTTGATATCTCGATATGCTTGGGACAGTGTAGTAATGGCTCCACAGCATTAATAGTTCTTTTTTCCTTGTTTTGCTCTTTCTGGTGCTTGGCAAGAAAGTCGGGAAGTTCCGAATTCTCGTAAATGGGATTTCCATCGAGAGTGGGTTTCTCTCTGGCCCTGGGCGACCTTGAGTCTCGTAAAACAAGACGCGACCTCGTCGACGCCGTCAATATTGTGCGTAGAGGAAGGAAAGGGGAAGATTGAAGAGGAGGGAAGGTTCAGACTCCGCGTTTGCGACCACTACGTTGTCAATAAAATGGGCAGAGGAGGGGGCAGGTGGGAGAGGAAGGGAGGTTCTCCGCGCTTTGCGGCCACTGTTCTAGAAAGAAACGCGAGATTTTAAGGAGTGCTCACCTCCCAACCTTTTTTTTTTCTTTTTATTGATCCGTCTCGACTAGTTTACGCCCCCTTCTGCCCTTCTTTAGCTGTCCTCTGCACGTCCACATATTCTCCTCTTGGCCATCCGTCAATGTCCTAAGTTGCTTTTCAAAACCGCATCGAGCAACATTGAGCGGTCGCCATTTGTTGCGAACGAACGGTGTGGGTGGAACCGAGTCCTCGCCCTAGCGTCTCGTAGATGCTCAGAATACGTGCCCAGACAGCGGTGAACTGGAGTATTTGACGCAGCAGCTACTAGATGGCAGGCACTTTTAAAAGGGGCCTATTAAAAAATTCTGAGTAACGCAGACTCCTCTTTTCTTTTTTTTTTTTCTCGGCAGCAGTACGTTTTCCATTGTTACGGAACTAGGGGCGCCTATTTTGGTTTCTGTTTACGTTTCCGCGAAACGTTCGAGTGTTTAGGGTTAAGTGCCGGGTTTCCTTCCTTAAAAAAAAAAAAAAAAACTTAACAAAAAAAAAGTTCCGACGTGAACTCGCGTGGTTTATCGCGAAATTGCGTCGCGTGGAAGGGCGTCCCTCCTCGGGGAGGACGTTAAAAATAGAAGCCGTATTTTGGGGATTGTTTTTGAAGATACAAACCTCCCAAGCCTCGAAAAAGTGGTATATTCTTTATAGCTTCCAATAACTCTAGCTCAAACATTTTTTTTTTCTTATTAAAAAAAAGGGTTGGTCGTTTTTCCTTTGGGTAAACGGTAGAAAACCCAGGACCGCCTGGATGCGTAAAATGAAATTAGTCGTTTTTATCTGAGATAGTTTCAAATTTGTCTTGGATGGATTGTCAAGGCTGAGAGCGACGCGTCGCCGTGGTCGCGCGTTAGACTTGGCACTTACGAAAATAGGCAGCTACTTTTATCTCCATAGTACTATAATGTATGAAATGTAGTATTTAAAAAGCAATTGTTTAAATTTATTAAAAAAATACACTGAACAGTCGTGGCGAGGAGTCAATGACCTATATGTTCTATTAATCTCTCCGCTAAATTTAGCGGACATAATTAAAATATCGCGAACTTGACAAGCACGAACTAAGGCGCGCGTAGGACAGGACTTGCGCTGGCTTCCAACTAAGTTTCTTGCACATAACCAAGCAATGTTTACCATAGCCTGCGGACATAAAAACACAAAAATAGTTATACGTTAAGCTTGTGTGTTTGCCACGCGCCCATCTTCGGGTAAAACCCCAAAGAAATGATAATTCTCTGTCAATAAGACACACCGACGGCATGCTGACGCACTTGTCTCCCGCTTTTTTGACTAAAAAAAAAAAACCTATAATTTTCCTTTTTGTCTCGTCCTTTGCTCTCTGCAGGAACATGGTAAATTTCAAAATATGGTCAAACTTACATCGTTTAACGTGCTCAGCAAGATGACCACCCAAATTTATTCGTACCGACAGATTATGCTCACGCTCTCTCCCATTGAAACATTGACCCGTTTATCCAATGTAAATGTAAACAACCCCACATGTGCAGTTGGTGAACATGACGGCATGATTCTTTGCGAATGTCAATGCGCAAAGCGTTTCAGTGCACAAAGAAACATGCCGTCATGTACAATAACTGCACATGTGGGGTTGTTTACGATACTCCTTTGAGGCCCGTTCACACTCTTGCAACCGAGTACGACCGAGAGAGACGAGACTTGTTGAAACCTCTTAAAATTTCTTAGGACGAGGGAACACACCGCCACTCTGGCGCCATCTATGCGGTTACCCTGGAACTGCATTTCACAAGGGCGAAGGTTTTGCGGGATTTCCGAGGTCAAATGGGCGTAACACCGACGAGGAAGGCTCGTTTATAACGTTGACAAAAGTCTTCGAGCCAAGAAAGAAAGGATAATGCGCGAGAGCTACCCAACTGCTGTCCAATAGATGGCGCCAGTGCGTCCCCTCGTTGTAAGAGGTTTCAAGGCACCCAGTTCTAAAAGGTCTCAAGAGTGTGAACGGGCCTTTTAGCTTTAGCCGCATTTACATTGGACAAACGGGTCGGTGTTTCAATGGGAGAGAGCGCGAGCGTAATCTGTCGGTACGAAGACATTCGGGTGGTCATCTTGCTGAGCACGTTAAACGATGTAAGTGTGAACATATTATTTTGAAATTGACCAAGTTCCTGAAGAGGGCAGGGGAATAGACAGAGATAAAAATTATAGAGGCTTTTTTTTATCAAAACCGCGGGAGATAAGTGCGTCAGCATGCCGTCCATGTGTCTTATTGACATATAATTATCGTTTCTTGGTGGTTTTACCTGAAGATGGGCGCGTGGCAGACATAAAACCTTAATGTATAACTATCTTTTTTTTTGGTCCGCAGGCTATGGTACATATTGCTTGGTTGGATGATGCAATAAACTTAGTTGGAAGTCAGCGCCAGTCCTGTCGTGTCCTCGTCAAGTTCGCGCTATTTTAATCATCTCTAATACGAATCGGCTAGCCCAATCAAAATTCGTGTTACAACTTTAGCGGGGAGACTTAGTGCATATGTCTCGTGACGTCAAAGCCACCTCGGTGGTTCCGAGGCGAGAGCGTTGGCCTACGGAACCCCATATGGCGGGCTCGAATCCC